AGCTTCTCTCCACACACCTGGAAGAGGTATGCAAAAAAGGGCAAGGTCTTTGGGGCACATGCATGAAAATCCTACTAAGTCTATTCTAATGAGGACTAGCAACGGGGTTTTAAAACAAGGGCTGGGAATCACACACCCTCCAGGTATTGCTGGACTACATGTCCCAGCATTCCTCACCCACTGGCTCAGCTGTCTGCAGTCCCACAATGCCTGGAGGACCACATGGTTCTCAACCAAAGTCTCAGGCCAAGATCTTACACAGCGCAGGTGGAGCGTAATGCCGTCTGCGCAGTTCTGTGGGGGAAAGAAAGCAGCAAAGCCCTGACCAGAGCCGGTCTGCGCCCTCCTTTCTCTTCCCCTTGGAGCCCAGAGCAGCCACATCCCCTCCTCCCTCAACACACCATACAGCAGGGGTAGGCAACCTTTCCCCTTTAAGGGCCGAGGGACTTCAGCTCCCAGAAGCCTCAGCCATATTGGCCAATAGCTCCTAGGATTCTGGGAGCTGAAGTCCCTCGGCCCTTAAAGGGGAAAGGTTGCCTACCCCTGCCATACAGACACACTGCAGAAACCATCCAGTTTGAAACCGCTTTAACTGCTCTGGCTCAAATGCTAGGGAATCCTGGGAACTCTCAGTGAGACATTTCGCCTTCTATGTAGGAGAGCTCTGGTGGCACAATGAACTACAGTTCCCAGGATTCCCTAGCACTGAGCCAGGGCAGTTCAAGCGGTCTCAAACTGGATGATTTCTGCAGTGTGTTTTGGACCCTAGTCATGTTTTTTGTATTAAGGTTACTCATCAATCGCCATATCCAGATATCACCGAATGTCATAGCAAGAGTTGTGAAATAAGCAATTAGCAAAATTAAAATTATACCTTTAAATTACAATATCATACGCACAGCCTAAATGTATTTACATGTACAGCTGCTCCCTCCATATCCATGGATTCTTTATTGATGGATTCAAGCATCCCAGGCTTGGAAAGATTTTGCCATTGTATATATGAGGCACCCCATTTTATCTCCATTGTCCTGAATGGGACTTGACCATCCATGGATTTGGGTCTGTCCAGGCGAGGAGGTCCTGGAACCAAA